CCACCTCCGACGGTTAGGTTGGAGGGGGTCTCTGAGGCAGAAGTTGCCATGGAGGTTGAGGCCTCGGCATCCCTCCTAGCGGAGGCGGGGTGGGAGGAGTGGGGAAGATGTGAGCAAGAGTAGTTCTCCCCACACACTCCCTCACCCCAGGCCCATGGGATCTGCCGGTGCGGTAGTGGCCTCGGAGTGTTAGAGGCCCCCGCACCGGGACCCATGGGCCAGGTAGGAGCAAGTGGGGGTGGGCGCCCCTTTTCGAGGAAACACCTCCACCCGCGCTAGGAGGGAATAGCCCGAACCGGCGTGAGACCCTCACCGCTGATTTCATGACGCAGCGGTGGAGAGAGCCCCGGGGAGGGAAGACCTGCCCCCCGGGGGACAGGTATTGTAAGGTACGTCGGCGTCTGGCCGACGATGAAATATCTCGGCCTGACAGCCGGTGGTCATTCGGCCCACACTTCAGGCTGCTGGCCCCCAGGGTGCGCAAAACCGGCCTGGCCGTGTCCAGGCTGATGCGCGCCCAGGGGGGCCCAAAATGGCAGGCTCGCCGCCTGTATGTCGGTGCGGTTCTCTCGATCGCCCTGTACGGAGTGCCTATATAGGCCCCTCAGCTGCTGGCCTCCACGGTGGCCAAGAGGCAGCTGAGGCAGGCCCTTAGGCCCCTAATGATCAGGGCGATTCGGAGGTTCCGCACTGTGTCATATATGGCGGCGACCATCCTGGCCGGCTCCCCCCTGTGGAGCTCCTCGCCGAGGAGAGGAGGATCCTCTACTGGCGAGTGAAGGAGCTCCACGAGGGGGGAGAGCTGACGGCCAGGGGCCTGAAGGACCTGATGACCCAGGCCAGAGACCGGACCGGAGCGGTGGGAACGCTTGTTAGCCGACCCCCGTGGGTCCGGTCTCGCAACGGCCGAGGCTGTCCGCCCCTGTCTGTCGGAAATGACAGACAGGAGGGGGCGTGGAATGTCTTTCCACTTGGTGCAGGTATGACCGGGCACGGATGCTTCGGGAGATACCTGCACCGGAGGAAGGAGCCCACCGCTCGGTGCCACCACTGCCCCGAGCAAGAGGACACGGCGCGGCATATCCTGGCTGCCTGCGCGGCATGGGAAGAGCAGCGCCGGGTCCTGTTCGGGGCGGTGGACTGCCAAGGCGGGGAGCTCTCGCTCCAACACCTGGTGTAAGCCATGTGCGGGAGCGAGAGAGCGTGGGATGCGGCGGCCTCCTTCTGCGGGGAGGTAATCTCCCGGAAGGAGGCCGCCGAGTGGAGGCGCCGGCCTGGCAAACGCCATCGGAGAGGACGGCGGGGCCGGCGCTCCCCCGGGGGAGAGGGAGTCGGAAGCGGGCCCGAGGTGGCATCAGGAGAGATGGCAGGCAGGAGGCATGAGGAGAGGGCGCCGGCCTACACGGGTCGGCGCCTCCCTCGGCCACCTCGGGCCAGACTCCGTCATTCAGAGGGGAGCGGGGAGGGCAACTCCCGCTCCTCTGAATGATTGAATAGAGGGGAAAGGGGGAGGTGGGAAACCCGATTGGGGTCGAGCCCACCTCCCCAAAATCCCTCCCTCTCCCTTAAGGAAGAGGGGAGGATAAAGAGGAAGGGTGGATGTCCCCTTTCTCCAAGGTGACACCAGAAGGCCAACCGGCGGGGATACCCGCCGGGGACCGCACCTCTCCCACTAATTCCCCGAAAGGGGAAGGGGGGCTGCGGTACAAGAAGGCGAGGGGCTCTTGGAATAGAGTCCTGGGGTCGGGGGGTTGGGGAGGGAATGCGGGAGCAGTTCCCCTAACTCCCCTCCTCACGGTCCGACAGGTAGACATCCCGCAGGGGTTTCAGTCGGTAAGAGTCCGACATAACCCCTGCCCCTCCCCAAGGGGGCGGGGGTATCCATGCTGGATTTCCCTTGCGTGAACAAAAAAGTGTTGTAGGGTTCCCCTCGGTTCCTCACCGAGGGGGGGGGGTCCCATTGGGACCCCCACACACCTTTAGCCCGCCTCCGTGCGGAGACGGCGGTGACATCAGTGGTGGGTACCATCGGGGGCCTGGGTCTCAAGGTGGCGCCCCAGAAGACGGAAGTCGAGGGGCGCCGCCGGAGATACGGATCCTAGTTGATGGCATCCACATCCGCATCGGGCCGACGATAAAATATCTCGGCCTGACGTTGGACAGCCGTTAGGGCTTCGGGCCTCATTTCAGGCTCCTGGCCCCCAGGGTGCGCAAGGCAGGGCTGGCAGTCGCCAGTCTCCTGCGCAACCATGAGGGATGGTTGCGCAGGGATGGAGGGCTCGCCGCTTGTACGTCAGCGCGGTCCTCTCGATCGCCCTGTACGGGGCGCCAATATGGACGACTCAGCTGCGGGCGTCCAAAGTTGGGATCGCCCGTATGCGGGCCGCCCTGAGGCCTCTGTACATAAGAACGGTCAGAGGATTCCGGACGCTGTCATACATGGCGGCGACCATCCTGCCCGGGCCCCCCTGCCCGTGGAGCTCATCGCTGAGGAGCGATCCATCCTCTATTGGAGGATAAAGGAGCTCCGCGAGGCGGGGGAACTATCGGCCAGGGACATGCAGGGCCTGAAGTCCCAGGCCAGTGCCCGGACCCTGGCGATGTGGGGCGACGTTTTGTCGAACCCACGGGGATTCGGGCGCATAACGGCCGAGGCTGTTCGCCCCTGCCTGCCACAGATGGCGGGCAGGAGGGGATGTGGAATGACCTTCCATCTGGTGCAGGTGTTGACGGGCCATAGATGTTTTGGCAAGTACCTGCACCGGATCGGTAAGGAGCCCACCTCCCAGTGCCACCATTGCCCCGTGCTAATGGACACGATGCACCACACTCTAGCCGCTTGTCCGGCCTGGGGAGCGCCGTGTCCTGGCCGGGGCGGTGGGGTGTCGGGAGGAGGAGATCTCGATCCCGCGCATGGTCCAGGCCATGTGCGGGAGCGAGGGGGTATGGGAAGCGGCGGTCTCCTTCTGCAAGGACGTTCTGTCCCAGAAGGAGACCGCCGAGTGGAAGCGTCGACCAGGAACCCGTCGCCCTAGATGGCGTAGCGGTCGGCGTTCTCGGGGGGGGGTCTAGGTAGCGGGCTCGAGATGACATCGGCCGAGGAGGATGAGGGACCTCTGAACAACAGAGGGCCAGATCCTCCTCGGCCGCCTCGGGCCTGCCTCCGGACACGGGGGGGACCCGGGGGGTCCGGATAGGGTGGGTCCGCGAAAGGACCCGACCCAGAGTGGATCCTCCTGGTCCTCCCCGTGCATCGGACAGGTAGGGACAGGAGGGAGTGGAACACCCAGTTGGGGCTGGGCCCACTCCCCCAAAATCCTCCCCTCTCTGATTAGCAGGGGGGAGGTAAGGAGGGAGAGTGGATGTCACCTCTCTCCTAGGTGACACCAGAAGGCCAACTGGCGGGACAAACCCGCCGGGGACCGCGCCCTGGATTCCCTTCATGAAACAGAGCGCGGCACACGGAAGCGTGGGGCTCCCTAAGAGCCCTGGGGTCTGGGGGTTGGGGAGGGAATGCGGGAGCAGTTCCCCTGACTCCCAACCCAACAGCCCGACAGGTAGACATCCGGGGGCAGGGATTTTAGTCAGTAGGAGTCTGACATAACGGCCCTTGACTCCCCCAAGGGCCGAGGATATCCATGATGGATTTACCCTGCGTGATAAAAAAAAATAAAAAAAAAAGAAAAAAGGGTTTCACACATGGATGGCGCTAACGACACATGTAGTCAACATATAGGTCTGAAGTTGTGTTTTTTTTTATAGCTTGGACATCTGTTAACAATAACCAGTCGTAATACCAACACATATCGCAACGCAAAAATATTTTTTCTAACAACGAAGATGTTGAGTTTTGTGCCAAATAAAGAGCATTTGCGGGAAGCTTTGCTTTTCTGCTTTAACTTGAAAAAAAGTGCAGCTGAAGCACTTCGTGTTTTGCTTGAGGAGGCCTACGGCGAACATGCACCATCGAAAACTACCTGTGAAGATTGGTTTAAACGTTTCAGAAGTAGTGATTTGGACACTGAGCAGAAGGAGCGTTCTGGAACATCAAAAACATTTGAGGACGCCGATCTGCAAGCGCTATTGGATGAAGATGATACGCAAACACAAGATCAACTTGCGGAGGCATTAAACATGACTCGCCAAGGTATTTCCAAACGTTTACTTGCCATGGGAAAAATTCAAAAGGAAGGAAAATGGGTGCCACATGAGTTGACTGAGAGACAGATGAAAAATTGAAGAGCCACTTCCGAAATTTTGCTTTTGCGGCATGAAAGAGTTTCCTGCACCGAATTGTTACTGGCGATGAGAAGTGGATATATTTCGAGAATCCCAAACGCAAAAAATCGTGGCTTTCACCTGGCGAGCATCAACATCGACGGCACGGCCAAATCGCTTCGGAAAAAAAACAATGCTCTGCGTTTGGTAGGACCAGAAAGGAATCGTGTACCAGAAAGACGCGTCGTTTTATCGTCGCGGTATTCATATATTGCCACAGAGATGGCAAAACCGTGTAGCTAGCGAGGGACGATACTTTGAATAAACCATTTTTTGTATTTCTCTTGAAATTTTCCATTATTCGTTGATCAAAAAAACCCGAGAACTTAGTTGCGCACCTAGTAGATTCTTACTCAACCGTGAGGACCACACGGGACCAGTCGACGCAGACCAATACCGGGAGTTTCACAGGACCAAAGAAAAGACGACGCAATGATAAAATAATAATTATTATTATAATTATATAATAATAATTATTATTATAACTACATAATAACTATTATTATAATTATATAATAATTATTATTATATAATAATAAATATTATTATATCCGTCATGTATATAAGGTTTAAATAAACTTTTATATATATATACAAAAAAAGAATATCTTCCGCCCATTAAACAGTGGGATAATTATTCACCTGATCTCGCAGAACGATGGTACATATTTTATGTGTATAAGCTCAGGATAAATTGTGAATAAATGTAGAAAATTACATACCTCGAGAAGACTGTCGCCTACAAGAATCATGAGTAGCCGATGACCATAGCGCTCCAAAACACGACTTGCATTTTCTGCTGCATACATTGAAGTAAAATCAAACATAGCTACATCTGATTGTCCGTAATGATTCACCGCAAATTCCATGTCCACCATTTGGTATCCTGTCGAAAATTCTGCTGCTTCTCGTGCATATAACATTAGAGCCTCTCGATCTACATTTTCTTTAGCGAGTAATTTTGCAGTATCAGCGTGATCCTAAAAATTTAATGATAAATAAGTAAATTAAAAGTATATTATACATATTATATTTCGTACTATACAAAAAAGTTTCCTCCGTACTACTTAATAATTTAGGGACGCACTACAAATTTATCATATTTTAAAAAGAAGTTTATCTGAACCATTGAAACGATTAAATATTTATCTAAAAACCACATTTTTCCATATAATCTTATCAAATTGTTTTATAACGAACAAATTATGGCTATTTATATAAATATACCTAATAAGCTAGGATATAAATTAATATATTAAAGTCAAGATTGTTCCTATTATGTGTGTTAGTTTTTCTGTAAATTTAGAAATACTTTTATCCAAATTAAAGGCTTAGCCGGATAAGTATATAAAATCTACCCCCGCACATATTAAGCTCTAATTAATGTCATAAGTTCGCATCCACGTGGTATGAAACTCTATCAAATTTTAACTTCAAAATTTCATTTTTGTGGGAGATGTGAAAAGGGAAAGAAATATCCAAAAAATTTTTTTTCTCAAAAACGGCTGGACCGATTTTAATAAAAAAAAAAAGTGATAACTACCAATTTCCTAGCATATTTTCTAGAAAAATCAAAAAGTATTTCCGACAAAAATTTCAGGTAAAATAAATTTTTTGAATTTTTCGAAAATTTTTTCTGAGGTTATGTCTACAGTTACATCGACCATTTTTCACATATACAAGGTGTCCCATTTTAATGCCCCGCCCCAAATAACTCTTCAGTATTGAAGTTTCAAGGAAAATTATTTGAATAAAAGTTGTAGGGATTTAAGTGAGCTATCTTATGATGACCTTGACTTTGACCTTGATCTCTATTTTCAAGGTTATTTGAAAGTTGCGTTTTTTAAATGGGAACTCTTATTTTTTATTACACTGTTTTTTTACTAGTTAATTTGAACAACTTTTGTCTAAAACATTTTTTTATTTGTCTGATATATTTGAGGAAACCTTGATAAACCTTTTTCAATATTTATTTCAATATTTAATTTACTTTAATTTATTTAATTTATTTAATTTATTTAATTTAATTTAATTTAATTATTATTCAATATTTAATTTACGATATCTCGGTAACTATTTGTCGGAAAAAAAATGGTACTAGACTTTCTTGCTTTATTTAGTCTTAAGAATATATTGTTACAATAATGCTTTGACTTTTGTTAACTTACTGATTTTTGGAAATTTCAAAATCATTAATCAGTAATTTAATAAAAATCAGGGCGCTATTGTAACAATATATTCTTGAGACTAAATAAAGTCTAGTACCACTTTTTCTTCCGACAAATAGTTAGCAAAATATCGCAAGTTAAACATTGAAAAAGTTATCACGTTTTCCTTAAATATCTTAAAAAATGTTAGACAAAAAAATGTTTCAAACAAAAGTTGTTCAAATTAATAATAGAAAAAAACAATGTAATAAAAAATAAGGGTTCCCGTTTAAAAAACGCAAGTTGACCTTCAAATGACTTTGAAAATAGAGATCAAGGTCAAAGTCAAGGTCATTATAAGGTAGCTCATTTAAATCCCTACAACTTTTATTCAGATAATTTTCCTTGAAACTTTAATATTGAAGGGTTATTTGGGGTGGGACATTAAAATGGGACAACCTGTATATTCCTCAAAATATATCTTTAAATTATACTTTTGCCCAATTTTTTGGAGTGGTATAATATTGTGAAAAAAAATTAAAATCGTGTATGCGATACTACGTTGTTTTATGGCGTATCGCTTTTAAACGATTATTATTAACCACAAACCTGTTACATTTTTTATGGCCGAAAAAGATATAATCTAAATTAGTATCGTAATATATGTTAGTACATATCTTTCTAGGACGTCTACAGTTAGCCTATAAAATTTACGACCGTAGGGGGTTGAAATTATAGCTTCCAGAGTTTACCTCGGAGAAGTTGCAGTATGTTTTTATACTCCATATTTGAGGTGCTTGATTAGTGTAAGTCCACTTGCCTCTCACGATTTAGCGCATTTGATTTCGTGAGTCCCCTTGCCTCTCACAATTTGAAAACTATCTCAATCCTCTTTGCTATCTTCATTGAAGAGTAATGATTTTTGTTGAATATATCGCTAAGTATTTGTGCTGGTTAAATAATCTTTAAGAGATATCTAGCATGAGGTAGGTAGTACACAATGGCCGCAATGTGCGAACAACAGCCAACAGTTCGTCTGCCATTAGCATACTCACATACGTGGTGTGTTACACCAAAAATACCCACGCTGTTTCCTAGGCTTGTATCTAATGAAACATCTGTATGATATTCAGGAAATATGTCGGAATGGAACTTCGAATTTAAGGACAGTGGACTCTTCTTTGACATATTCAAGTGTCAATTTGTCATCCGTATTTATCATTTCCGCTAAATAAGATGCAGCCTGAGAAAGTTGATACGATCCTGTGAAAAAAATTATTAAATCCTTTTCGGTCGTTTCTGGAAAATCCAGAATTTCACCTGATATAACTGCTTTGAAAGGAGTTTTTCGACGAGTTAAGCCTTTTTCTTATATCTCAGTAGCTAATGTAGTTTGGATATCTTTTTGAAATTGCATTCTTTCTAAGATTTCATCCGAAATTGTCAAGTCTGATTCTAATATTTTCCCATAAGTATTCTGAAGAAATGATGCAATCCTAAAATAAATTCCAACTTTGGGTATCAACTTATCTATTTTACGGTCCAAAAGACGATATTTTTGCTTTATTATGTCGTAAACAGCTTCAACTGCCCTGCGTATTTTAGTCACAAAACGAGATTGGTTGGATTCTTCTATGGACAATTGCTTCTTTTTCCCTTTTAAAGCGGGCATTAATACCTTAACATTTTTTCTTCCAGATCCTCACGAAAACCACGAACAAGAACAAAACTATTATTTCTTTTTAAGATCTTGCATAAATCATTAGAATTTTCAGTAATGATTTTTAAGATATTTGCATCATTTTCATTTGCGAGATGTAGCCCAAGCATGTCAACTATACAGGGTGTCCCATTTTTAAAAACACACCTCGATAATTTTCAACACAGTATTTTTAGTAAAAATGTTTCGGACAAAAGTTGTATGATTTCAAGGGGGATATAAAACAACTATACTATTTTATTTACAAATGGCACCACTTTCGAGATATTCACTGATCATTACTTTTCTTAAATGGAAACCCCAATTACACCATCTTTTTTCTACCAATTAATTTAAATAACTTTGTCTGAAACATTTTTTTTATTTATAAATAAATAATTTTACCTAATATTTTTTAAGATATTTAAGGAAAACTTGATAACTTCTTCAATATTTAACTCACGATATCTAACTATTTGTCGGAAGAAAAAATGGTACTAAACTTCTCTGCTCTATTTCATCTTAAGAATATATTATTACAATAGCGCCCTGACTTTTGTTAACTGGCTGACTTTTGGGAATTTCAAAATCACCAATTTCAATTCAAAATCACCAAGACAAAAGTCAGGGCGTTATTGTAACAATATATTCTTGAGACCAAGTAGAACAAAAAAATCTAGTACCACTTTTTCTTTCGACAAATAGTTAGATATCGTGAGTTAAATATTGAAAAAGTTATGAAATTTTCCTTAAATATCTCAAAAAATACTAAGCAAATAGAAAAATGTTTCAGACAAAAGCTGTTTAAGTTAATTAGTAGAAAAAGAAGGTGTAATAATAAATTGGGGCTTTCATTTAAGAAAAATAATGATCAGTGAATATCTCGAAAGTGGTGCCATTTGTAAATAAAATAGTATAGTTGTTTTATGTCCCCCTTGAAATCATACAACTTTTGTCCTAAACATTTTTACTCAAAAAACTGCGTTGAAAAATTATCGAAATGCGTTATTAAAAATGGGACATCCTATATATCTATCAGTTGTGCAAATCATAAAGGGCTTACAAAGTGATACTTTTCCTATCCAGAGAAAGATTTACTTTGATATTCATTATTGCTACTTTTCTGATGTCTTGCATACGTTCCATCACAAATCAAATTCAAATTATCATGAACATCGAACAATCTTTTTGCAATTTTTGTAGTATTATTATATTATATTGTAGTACAAATTGACACTTGTCAATTTGTACTACAATATAATATAAACTACAAATTGACAATTGAAATATGTCAAAGAAGAGTCCACTGTCCTTAAATTCAAAGTTCCATCTTGACATATTTCCTGAACATCATACAGAAGTTTCATTAGATACAAGTCTAACAGCGTAGGTATTTCTGGTGTAACACACTACGTATGTGAGTGTGCTATTGGGTATGGGAATAAGTTTCAATCGTTTTTTATGTAGACAAAAATCATAGTTTGAATATGAAAATATTAAATGATTTTACTCAAAATATTTTCCATCTGAAGCGACAACCTTCGCCCATCTTTCAGGCAATAAACGGATTCCTTGAGTGAAGAATTCTATTTCTTTCGAGGCGATTCAGTCATCGACCCATTTTTGTATGTTGTCATATGAGGTGAAGCGCTCTCCAGTAAGTGCCGACTGCATCAACCGGAACAAATGATAGTCTGAAGGGGCAATGTCTGGTGAATATGGCGGGTGGGGTAGGACCTCCCATTTCACCCCTTCTAGGTATGTCCGAACGGGTTGACCAACATGTGGCCTAGCGTTGTCGTGCTGCAAAATCAGCTTCTCGTGTCTATCGCGCCATTCCGGCCGTTTTTCTTGAATAGCTTGTTTCAAACGCATTAGTTGAAGTCGGTAGTAACGTTGGGAATTGATAGTTTCGGACGGTTTCAGCAGCTCATAGTAGACTACACCCTGCATATCTCACCAGATACAGAGCATGACATTTGACCCGTGAATATTGCGCTTTGGCGTTGATGGACTCGGTTCACCTGGCTTCATCCATGCTAGTTTGCGTTTAAGATTGTCGTAGTGAATCCATTTTTCATCGCCAGTGACGATCCGATGCAAAAAACTCTTTCTTTCTTGTCGTTGAAGCAAC